CACTAATATTGTGGTAATATTGTTACAAAGTAGTAAATAACTAGGTCCTCAATCTCAAACTAGGTGTGTTTGTTTGGAAATCCCTCAATCCGATCCTCATGTTTAGATTTAGATTCAGGAATAACATAAAAGTGATATTGTGTCCTTCTCAGAATATCCTATTAAAAGGTGTGTATGCTTGGTTTGTCCCAGTATAAGTAATATTAGAGACCACTTGCTTAGAAAGGTATCCATAAGTTCTCTCCATTGTAAAGATACTATTTCCCCATGATAACTAATAAAAAACTTACAAGGAGATACTTTAAGACTAGTAAAAACCCATTCATCATCAAACTCTCCCTGATTAGTTTTAGCAAACATCAATGATTCTCTTACTACGTAACTCCTTTTGTATTTATTAGTTAGCATTCTACTGTAAGGGACATTCTCTTCTTTCCTATTTACTTACTTATCTAGTGATTTATTTATATCAGAGTGAAATTACAGTTTCTTGTTTTAGTCAGTTGTTAAAATTTGTTACTATTACTGTATATTTTGATATTCCAATTGCTCTAGATTTATCCTTTGAAAACTCTCTGAAGATACATCATCTGCCCTTCTGATTTATTGCCATCATCTTAAACCTTTCTAATTTTCTAGCTAAACAAGATTTTCCAGGCTTATCTTATGCTTTTTGTGTCCTAGATCTGGATTTTTTTCTCCAAAGAGTTCTGATTTCTTTTAAAGTGAGGAATGGTATTTAGAAACCAAAATCTGGGTAATAAGTGTGCTCACTGCTACCGAAATGTCATTGCTTCTAGTACTTCTCAGTGACAGAGCTGAAATAGATACAGAAATATATTCAACAAAATATGTGTAAGACAAATATACTAAAAATACTGGGAAAAATCTTAAAAGACTGGAATAAGTGGATAAATATACTATGTTCATGGATTATAGGACTCATTATTATTAGGATGTCAATTATGAAAATGTCTTAGCATCTTATAAGGCTGCAAATCTATATATTGGCTGGAATTGTGGTCACATCTGGGGGCCAAATGGGGAAATATCCACTTCTGTGCTCACACAGGTTGTTTGCAGAATTTAGTTCCTTATATTTGTAAGACTGAGGGATTCATTTTCTTACTGACTGGAACTCCTTTGTAGGCTGTCAGCTGGAGGATCCCACAGCTCTTATAAACTGCCTGAATTTCCTCATCATGTGGGATTTCTCCACATGATATAACACATACATACACACACACACACACAAACACACACACACACTTAATTTTTAACCTCCAATTCCATTCAACACCACAATGTATCTTCTAGTCTTCTCCCTTCAATAGTGTGAAAATTGGAACTCATTATAAATGCAAATATATTAATTTTCTGAAGCCTTGAATATACTGTAAGGTTGCAAAGGGGACAGAATATATTGGTATTTGAATAAAAATATATATGGTATTTGAATTAAAAAAAACGAGGCAGGGAAGTTTCGTGACTTTAATAATTCACATTCCTTTTTGGGGAAAGGAATTTGATCATCACAGATTTATTTTTTTCTAGTTGTATGAGCAGAACCTCAACAGTAGAGGTAGGTAAAAGTCAAATCATGCAGAACTTTGTAAGCTACTTTAGAGAGTTTGGGTATTATTCTAGTACAATGGGAATTGGAGACCTTTCTGTTAGGCCTCTATTGCACATTTGTTTGTGTAAACACCATTAACAGCTTTTTAAAAGTTATTTTCTGGTAATGTTTATTATTTACTCAATCTTCAACTCATTCTAAAACAAGATTGGAGGTGCTTAGTGCAATCTATACCAGTAAGTTAAAACATTAAGCAATCTAGCAAATAGGGATAAAAAATAAAACAGAGCTGGGAAACAAGAGGTCAGGGTGAAGTCACCTTTAAGAACTTTAAAGTTACAGAGGTTTGTTACAAATTTTATCTGAGATTTCTGGAGACTAGAACAGTTTGAAATAACTCATCCCCCAATCTCCTGTGATATGCTCACTTCAAATAACAGGCCTTCACAGGAACCCCCAAACTACCATGTACACCACACAGAATTCAGACTCATTAATGGCAGAATCCTCGGATTGTTTTTCTTGCACTAACTTTTCAAAAAACTTTCTGGTTTCTGATAATTTAACCCTTTCAGTCTAATAGAAAAATGGACAGGGAGTGCTTGTTTATTTAACAGCAGCCAACTGAAGCAAACGATTCAAGCCAAAAATTCACTCCATTTTTGTAGGAAAGTATAGTTTTAAATTGTAATTGACCCTCTGTTAGGAGAAATACATGGATTTCCACAGGGAAAAACTGAGCACTGAGGACAAAGTCTCTAGTTCACGAGCACTGTAGTCACACATCAGGATCACAGTATTAAATTAGAGACAACTTGCACATTAAAATCTGATATAATTTATCACACGTTATTTCACATTCTACTGCTTTGCTTACTTTTTGTTGGTTTCTGTTTACTTGCATACATCAGTAAAGTTTCAGAAAAACTTCAATTATAGAAGGACAGTTATTTAATGCAGGAAGAATAAACAATTGCATTGGGAGACTGGAAGACATTTTGTAAAGTTCTTATACTATCAATTTAATTATGTATTTCTGTGTAGTAATACTCATTCTATGAGTAATGTCTTACATTCTTGCCAAGAATATTTTGAAAGGACTTTGTTAAAAGTATGTCAGCTAAATCACTATGGGTATATCACCACTAATGGTGTCATTCATACGTTGTGAAACATACAACTCCAGATCTAATTTTGTCCCCAAATTAGGTCATTGCAAATTATCATATTAAAACTGCAAATTGAGGGACAAGGAGATGGAGATGAGAACAAAGCAAAAGGAAGACACCAATTCCTTTTTGTAAAACATGATTGGGATAGGACAAAACAGAGTAGAAAGGCTGAGCCCTTTGAAACGGATACTTTTTTTGTGGGGTGTGTGTATTAATTCCGTTTAAATATAAATATAATTAAACTTCGGCTAACCAGCCCGCTCCGCACTGTACCCGGGTAGCACCTGTGCTCTCAAGTTAACCTAATTGTACAGAGGTGCCCGTTTTCTAACTTCATACACAAGCCATCACTATTATTTGAGTTTTCCTTTTTCTTTTCCCGGAAAGTCTTGTTCCAGTCATGAAAAGGGTATGTTTGATGCAAAGACACGTAGTTTATAATTATTACTGTCGTTATTACTAACATATTAAGTACGGGAATGTCTTTGTTGGAAGTTACCCACCAGGGCCTGCAAATCTGCGGCACACACTTCCCCACCACCCCCCGCCCACCGCCCCCCACCGTGCCCGGCGCTGGCTAGGCTCGGAGAAGGTCTATCCCTGCACCGTTCAGAACCAAGCCCTGGGTTGGAGGAAAGCGAGGCGCGATGGTCATTGTTCACTCAGGCCTGAGGAAAAGTTGCCAGAATACCAGCACCTCTTACTTTTGGCGAAAAGTTCCCCTAACTCCAGCTTTCAGCACTTGGGATGGGCGCACACATCGCGACTCTCCGTTTCTTACTGTGGGGCACTCTGCAACACACCCAGAGTCACCTCTGCGCGCTCCACTGGAACCCGCTCAGCACACAGCGCACCCCAGCGGCGGCGTGGCCTCCTTCCAGCCATGGCCACTTAGCTTCCGGAGAGCTAGCCAGTTGCCTCCGCCGCCGCCTTAGAATCTGGGGACCCGACAGACTGCAAGACCAGTTTCCGTTGGACCCCAGGGAGGACGCGCGGCTGCTGCGCCTGCCCCCACCCGCCACACCTGGGAGCGGTGAGGACCAGGAGAGGCGGGGCGCGGCGAGAGGCTGGCGAAGTGCGGGAGCGGCTTCGCTGAAAGCCAGCCGGACTGGAGCAAGGAGGAGGGGGAGGGTCTCGAGGCAGAGTCCTGCTACTCCGAGGGAGGGACCCCAGCTGGGGTGGAAAACAGCACAAACCAGCTGCAGAGACGCTGGGCGCGGATCATGGAGCGGGCCAGCCCTGGCTCCGGGGGGTCGCAGCTGCAGCGGGACCAGGATTGCGTGGAAGCGTGGCTGGATGACCACTGGGACTTTACCTTCTCTTACTTTGTTAGGAAAGCCACCAGGTAAGAAGAGGACCCCTGGAAGACCCACCCGGGGCTCTGAGAGTGACCTGGGGGCGCATCTCTCTCCCTTACTGAATATTCCTCTTCCTTTACCATTAAACAACCTCTGTTCCCAGGCCCTTTGCTTTTGAAGTAGGTCTTTGGAGCTGTTAGGGTGTAAAGACCTTGACTTCATGGCTAGTACAGTCGAAAAGCCCAAGTGTGGGATTCGATCTAACTTGCTCACAAAGTTCAAATACAGAAATGTACATGCGGACGCCCCCCCCCCACCCCCAGCCCCAGTCACATACCCCGGCTGCCCTGGTATTCCCTGAGAGCATGATTATTTACATACGTCCGCGCTCACGGGCCTTCCCGCAGCCCTTCTCTAGCCTCCTGGTACCCCTAAATATCCTTAGCCAAACCAAAACAGTTTTTGAGCCCCTTCCCTGCAGCTCCGGAAGCACCATTTCCAACTCGGTCCCAGCGGCTCCGCTCCTCCCCTGTCCCCCCTCGCTCTGGCCCTTGGCGGGGCGGGGAAGCCGGGGTAGGGGCGAGACCACGAGGAGCCCAAGGCAGCAACATGCCGGAATCTTCCCAGAGTAAGTGCTGTCGCCTTTTGCCCCCCTCCAATCCCTTGCTTGGCCCGGGCCCTTCCTTTCACTCTTTTCTTGCTCCCAAGGCGGCGCCGCTGAAAGGGCTCCGCGGAGGGGTTCGCGGCGCGCACACAAAGGTCGCTGGGGAGGCGCGGCTGGAGCGGACAGCGGGGGACCGACGGGTCCCGCGCGGCCCCAGCCGACCCCAGAGTCCGGCTCTTCTTGGTCCGGAGCCAAGCGCCGGGGCGGCCGCTGCGGACCGCGGGGAGGAGGGCTGCCTGTCCCTTGGGAAGTGGCTGCCGGGGGGGGGGGGGCAGTTGGGGCGCGCGTGGGAAACGCTCGCTGTGGAGTTGGGGAGGAATTGAGGCTGAAGCCGAGGAAGGAGGAGCTGGAGCAGAGAGTGCGAGGCGGGCGGATCCCCCGAAGCCTGAGGAGTTGGTGAGAAGCCGCTGGCCCGGGCAAGATTCCTCACGCGGACTCAGGCCGACTCCTGGAAGTGCCTCTTTGGGGAACGGTCCCGAACCCGCCGCCGCTGCCGCCTTGTCCAGGCAAGGGCCGTCGGGCAGCTGACGCTGGCTGCCTTGGCCGCCCGGAAAGCGCGCTCAAGGCGGTGATGGTAGAGCGGCCGGCCAGGGCAGGGCGCTGGGCTCCCACCCGCGGGCGCTCGGTCTCCGCTGTGCCGGGCGCTCCCCGCCAGGGGGCGGCGCAGCGCGGGGCGAGCGGGCGGCAGCCGGCGGTGGCGCGGTGGCGGGGTCGGTAAGGGAGCAGGCTTCGAGTCAGCACCTCACCTGGGCACGTCGTCGCCCCCCGGCGCCTCCTGGAGTCCAGAGTCTGCGGAGGCCGCATGGTCTGCACTTCGAACTTCCCATGTTTGCTATGTTGCCCTTTGGAGACAAAACAAGGTAGTCCCTTCAGCATCGCCCCCACCCCCACTTCCCACTTTCCCTTGGGGGCGCGGAGCTGGGTGTTGGGTGATGGCGCCCGGGGCACAGCAAGGGGGGGATGCTTCACTGAGAATGGACTGTTTGATATTTTTGTCTTCCTTTATTCTTTTACGGTGAATTACTTGGGATCTGTGAAGGGGCTCGTTTTAAGGCTGTTTCTCCTAACGAGTTTGTGTCGATTTCATCACTTTTGGGGGTTTTGGACTGAGGCGACAGCTTAGGGCAAGTCTTATCTCTTCCGTTTAATTACTCCGCCCTCCTTTCAAAGTCCTCTTACCCCGCTTTGGTAGTCTTCCTTCAAAATCCCAAATCTGGAGCAACCAGAGGATAAACCCTGAAAAAAAAAAAAAAAAGATTTCTTTTCAAAGGACACTTTCCTGCGAGTTTGGGGTGAGGCACTAAGGCCATCTAGATCTGGAAATATTGATTGTTGTGGGCCCTCAGTTTTCAAAGGTCACCTGCTACCCGAGACCATCTGTCCCTAGTTTCCTTTCACCCTTGTCCACTTCCACTTCTCTGTCCTTACTGAATGGGAAGGGGGCAGGAGAGCCGGGCTGATATTTTTCAGTGTGTCGGGGTGTTCTTTGGAGGTGTTCTGTAGGCAGATTATTAGTAGTTGAAAGAAAAAAGTGATTTGTCTTATAAATCAGCATCAGTGTCCTCTTTTTTCCCCCTCTCCCTTTAGAGACGGAAACTTGGGATAGTTTGGTGATCGTTTCTAAGTAGTCATAGATAAGAACACTTCACTCAAAGCCTGCTGGTTCTTTGAAAGTAACATTTTACTGGAAGTTAAATGGAAAGGGTTAAATTTAATTTTCTTTTCACCTTTTTCTGCCAAGTAGCATTCGACTAAAATCCTCATTTCTCAAAGTTACACTGTTCACTGTAAAATTTAGATCATCTGAAACTCTATCTAAAGACTTTTTTTGGCTATGGTTTTTATATTATAGTTGATGTTGATAATATGACAAGTATGTGTGTACATGTACATTTTTATATATTTGTAAGAGTTTATGTTGAGTGTAAGTTGAAAACGAAAGTGTAAAATATTTAAGAGTAGTACAGGCCCTCATTAGGAGATATAAAGTGCTGAAAGTTGTCAGTTTAAAGAATATAACCAATATAGTCAGAGGTTCCTGTTTGGGCTTATATTTGGTGGCATTAACTGGAGATTTAAGTTTGAGAGATTAGACAGTAGTTGGTTATAAAAATTCCAAACTTCTAAACCCAGTGTGATTGATATGGTTGTGGTAAAAACTTATTTCAGATGGTCTAACTCTACAGCTAGGGTCTTTTTTTTTTTTTTAACTGGAAGCTGTTACTTTGCTTTTTTCCCTTTGTTACACTTTGTAAGCGTAAAATGAGTACTGTATGTGATCCAGGACCCCATGAAACAAGATAGTTCTGTAGAAATATTTAACATGTTTTAAAATTTTAAATAAATTTGGAGTCACTTAGATTGGCCATCTGTGCTTGTAAACAGGTATGTTAATGGAACTATTTCTACTTTATTCGATTTAATTGTTGTCTTTGGACATTCATGCATGCTTTTTTATCCTATCCCTGGACTGAATGATCTGTACTCAGTAGTTGTCATTGAACAGAATGAAGGTTTCTGGCATTCCTAATTCTCATTTAAATACCTGTGAGTTTTCATTGACCTTGAAAGAAGTTCTGCTGCTGTATTACGTTGTTTCCTATAACTGTCTTCAAATACAGAGTTAAGCACCTAGTTAAAAGCTGCAAGCTTGGGGCATAGATGCTTTTGAGTAATCACAGCCTGTTTATGTGAATTTGAGTGTCACTTGAACAATTCATAACAATCTATTGGCATAAAAATTCATTTGAGACTAGTAAACTACAACATATGGAAACTCCCACCCTCAATTCTAGACAACTTTGCAGTTCTACCCCCCTGAGATTCTTTGTTAATTAAGGGCTCTAATCTTCATGCATTTGCAAATGAAGGCTTCTTGGTGCTAATGCCACTTTAACAGCTGTCGTTGTTTTTGACAGCATTTTAAAATAATGTTACCTTTCATTAGTTAACTAATCATTTCTGCCATTGTGCATGTTTTAGATCATTTAGTATTGTAGGGGTAACGTGATTGACTTTTTATTGCTTTGTTTTGTACTAGGCAAGAGCTTGAGAATATTTGGCATATAATGGAAATAGGAGTTACTAAGTGAGGACAAGTTTTTATGACCGCTTGGATCAAAGTCCAGAAACAGAAGTTTTACACTTCCATGTAGCTTTCTATGATAGACTTTTTATTTGACACTGCAGAACTGTGCTGAATTAGTTGACATTCTGGGTCCTGTATTTGGGATTTTTTTTTTCTTTTCTCTTCTCTTTCTTACTTTTTTCTTTCTTTTTTTTCATCATTTTTTCTTATCTCTAAAAACTGTAACATTTTTATTTGCAAGATATTTATACTAATCAGATGATTGGATATAAAATAAATATTGCCATCCACTTTTTAGAAATACTGTTTCTGTAATTGTATAGGAATATAATTTTTAATTTTCAGACAAATGATTTGCTAAGCATATTTTATTAAGCTGTCACTAGTGTTGAAGATAATAAAACCCTGTGGTTATTGACTCAGTCTGACTTTAATATTATTTATAATATTTTTATGATGGTAATTCTGATGCAGTAATGACCTTTTCTTTTCATATGGCTTATAAGCAGGGTTCTTTTGGCCAACTTTAAGCTGTTTTTTAGTGCCCTGAAAGTACTCATGTGTATCAAGTTCTTTCCTCCTAGAAGAAGTTATAGGAACCCCTAAAATGATATTTTTCAGTGCCCTTCCAACGATAGTGTTCTCAAGGTTTCAAAATAAGATCCACTTTAAAGTCTGCAGTGCAAGCTCATGAGTCCTAACAATGTGGTAGAATTATTGCAATGACAAATAGTCATAGATGAATATCTTAAAATAAATCTATTTGCTTTGCTAACAAAAACTTAAGTAGGCATATAGTACAATTCAGTAACTTTTTTTTCAGATCTGTAGAAATCACCAATATTTTCATAAGATCATGTTTCCAACACCTCAAGGTGTACAATTTTTAGCATTTTGAATATGTTGTGCAATAAAGTTTTCTTTTAAAGTAATTCCACCTAAATATTTAGATATTTAAAATATCTGAAATTGGCTTTTAGGTTTTATAGGTAAAGTCTGTATCTTCATCCTTATCTGATTACAAAGAATGTCTAAGATACCCCTTCCTTTAGATTTGAAACACAAATTAACTTAGAACTTTGCTTGAACTTCCTAATGCATTTTAATAATGCTCAGGAAAGATTTCTTCTGTAATTGAAAAGGCTACACAGAACTGTTTGGTGTTTATTAGTTTATAATTTTTCAACCTAATAATTTATTAAATCTGTAACTGTTATGTTGAGTTATATTTGTTCTTTGTTCTCTGAGCTGGTTTTAGGATCACAGGCCCTTTCTACGATGAAAGCCTTTGGTAAGGACTGCAGGGCAATTGAATAAATCACTGGGTTGGTTGATCGTGGAGGGTTGAAAAATGAATTTAGGATAATTTCTTGAATTTCTGAATTTAGGATGCAGGCTAGCTACTGACTTTGCAGGACTTCCTGTGAAATTAGTTTAGCTGGACAGATGTAGATTCAGTTTGACCAGTGTTTACAGCTGATTGATGTGGTCTTGGAGATATCTGTTATATCAGGTGTTCAGTAAAAAGTCCCTGTGAGCTACATACCTAGGAATAAAAATTGAAGAAAGTATTTCCAACATGAGTCATTCATTTGTTATTTAGCCCTGTAATCTTATTTATTGACTTGGCATTCCCATTTAATTTGAATTTTATATATATATATATATATATATATATATATGGTGATATAAATGCTTTATTCATTTTCTTTAACTGGTAGGAATTTACACTTATTGCTAACCAAATGTTTAAGGCAGGTAAAGCAAACTGAGTGTTAAGTTCTTAAGAATCATTTTGCTAGGGATACCTGGGTGGCTCAGTCAGTTAAGCGTCTGCCTTTGGCTCAGGAAATGATCTCCGGGTCCTGGGTTTGAGCCCTATCTCTGGCTTCCTGCTCTGTGGGGAGTCTGCTTCTCCCTCTGCCCCTCCCCCTGCTTGTGCAGGAGCACACGGGCATGCTCTCTTTCTCTCAGATAAATAAAATCTTTCATTTTGATAAGTATTCTAAAAAACTTCTAAAAAGCTCTTAAGGATATCTATTTATTATTTCTCTGGTTTGTAATTTGTACTCAACATACTTTTTCAAATGTTTTCTGCCATTGCTTTAGCTTCTGTATTCTTCAAGACTTTTCCCTTGATTGTCAATTTTAAAATCAACCTTTTGCAAATTATCTTCTCTGAATAATTTTATTAAATCTAAACTTGGGAGAAGAAAGATCCCCCCTCTAGTATCATATCCCTAGTGATAACTATAAAAAATAGCAATCATTATTTCTACTCTTTGTTGAATACATATGCCAAAGTTGTAAGAAAAGGTCCTAATCTTTTAAGCTGATGAAATAATTAAAGCACACACACACACACACACACACAGGGTTTTTGAATTAGAGGGATCATGTAATCCATTGTTTCTTACACTTAAATAATGTTCCTTTGTTAAAAAAAGACATTCTTATTCATCTCTAGTATATTAGTTAGAAAGTGTTTGGTCGTAACTACTTCAATTCATACAAAATTGACTTACATAATTAAGTACGTGGAGATTGTTTTGATTGTAAAATTCAGCTGATCAAATATTGTCAAGATTCTGCTTGTCTTTATATCTTTTTATCTGGCCTTCCTTCAGTCCATCCACCCATCCATTCTTTCTTCCTTCCTTCCTTTCCATCCATCCATCCATTCATACTCCATTTTTGGGCCCTATGTTGTGTTGGCTTTATTCTGTATGCTTTCATTATATGCTGGAAGCTATTTTCAGGGCAACTTTCTAT